CCCCTATACCCACGTATGACGAGGGATTTGCATGTCAGTACCGCTACAAGCCTCCATCAGAGCTTCTCCTGACTTGAACATACTTGAACTTCTTTCGGCACATGCTCTTACTCAAACTTCTCTCAATTGATTGGTCGCTTGCTGGTGCAAAAAACCCAGCAGTCACCCTCATCGTGCGCAAAGGTTTGAGTCACCTGCATCGTACGCAAAGGTTTGACACCTCAGAATTAGAAGAATTACAAGAATCATCTACTACTACAACAATCATCTACTCCCTGTACCCCCCTTACCCGCTGTTACTCCTCCCCTTACGCGCTGTTACTACAACCCTACCCGCTGTTACTGAGAACGCTTGTTTGATAAGACCCTCCCAACCCGTAACTGCTCTTCTTCGCCGCTTGGTCCTCGTAATTCCGCTGAAGGCTCAGTGCAAAGAGAAAAGCCTTCTGCTTTTCCAGCTCCTCTCTCTCCCGCTGCAATGTCTCCCTCTCAAAGGCCTCCGCCTCCTGCAAGGTTGCTTTGCATGTGGCTAAATCAGAACTGATTGAACGAAAGGAAGCAAAGCGCGCATCGCGGATCATCACGGCCTGGCGCAGCTTTTCCTTGGCTGCCAATTCCTCATCGAAGGCCGCTTTTCTTCGAGCGAGCTCGAGCTCGGAAAACCTCAAATGCTTGAGCGTCTCGCACATACCCGCTTCTGAGTCTTTCATGTGCGTTAATTTCTTCTCTGTGTTCCGGCCCCTACTCTTGCGAAGTTTGCTTGTGCTCCTGTCGCCACAGGGAATCCAGCTCACTTGCTTTCGAGGCACTGCGCCTGCTGCAAGAGCGCCGCCAATTGCTCGGTCCGCTGCTTTTCTAGCCAGTCAAGGGCCTGTCACGAACAGTTCAGAGACCCACTGGGCGATTCAAGCTCAAACCAGAAACCTCCCTGTTAGAGAGTGCGGCGTGCTGCAAAACTGTCGTGTCGAAAATTGCCACATACTGCATTCTGCAATCATCTACAATCCCTGCAGCGCAAGCGCAGTGCTGAATCGGCACCCGACCGTACCCAGATGTACCCAGACCCGAAAACACTGGTAAAGTCTCGCTGCCAGAGCCAGAGCCGCTCCTCTCGCCTGTTGCAGATGCTGTTCCTGCGAAGCCTGCGCCTCAAGGAGCGCTTGCCGCTCCTCTCGCACAGAAATGGCCAGTCGTACCAGCACATGCCATGGGAATCCATGGGATCATGCCGATCGGGGTCTATTAAGCGCAGTGTTGGATGCGAGCAGAGTTGCAGATGTGGCAAGGCACGGCAGTCCTCTTCAAGAGCCTTTTCCTCAGCTGGCACATTGGAAAAGAATCGGGCAAAGCAAGCTATGGAGCCAAGTTACCAGTGCGGATCTCTGCTCTTGCTGAAGCACTCGTTGCGAGGCCAAGAGGTCAACAACAGAGAGCTGCTCTTGCACGCTGTCCAAGACCTGCAGGCTCCCGTAGAACCGCTCCTCCAACTCCTTGGCCAATGGCCCTGTTTTTGCGGGAATGCCCGTCTCGGTCGCTTCCAGGCGTGGCAGCGGACGATACGGGGGTAAAGGAGGAAGCTCTCGGACCGCAGCAGAAGCTTGGGACAGCGGAGATGCAACCGCATCGGAGTCTGATGCAAAGCCTTTCGGCTCTGTCTGTGCCTCTGCTTGTGAGTAGGCCACTGAACATCCATCATCCTGCACAGCCTCCTTTCGCTCTGCGTGACCACTCGGGATCTGAGTAGGGCTCAGCTTTTCGCGTAGCTCCTGAAAACATCCCACGCTGGCCGGACTGTCCGCCATCAGAAAGTGACGATCGTTCTCATGTCGTGACTCGAGCGGCCGTTCTTCGGCTGCAGGTTCCCCTGTGGTCAGAGTGGCCGTTCTGGCCTCATCGAAACCCACCGTTTGTGTGTGGGATGCGGGATCTAGCACATCGTCATCCTGTGCTTTGTGTGAGCCTGGCGCATCGAGCTGCTCACGGCTGTCATCCACTACCACCGTGCGTGGCTCGATTGTGCCTCCAGCTTGTCGGGTGGCCTTTCGCCGGAGTGCCTGTATGACCGACACATCATACAAGCCATGCCGATGCTCTGGCACATGTTGAGGGACAAAAGCCAGGTCATGTCCGGGTCTGTTTTGGGCAAGCTTGTCGCATCCACGTGCCGCAGGCGCACGGCTAGGCAAGCCATGCACTGCAGGAGCAGCCACGCGCATCCGTATCTGCTCTGCTGATGATGGGGCACGCACTGCCTCGACGGGAACCTCCTGAGAATGCGGATACTGAATCTGGTTGGATATGATGTTCTCGACTCCAGCGTTCCGACTATCGGGACGCATCTCTGCGTCGGGGAGTTGACGGGGCTGCATCGCCACCGCGCCCTGGGGGTCTGCGGGGTCAGTAGTCTTGATCCGAACATCCTGGCAATCCCGAGTGCCTTGAACAATTATTTCCCCCCACGAATGGTCTTCGAGCTGGATTTCTGATGAATCCTCGCAGGCCCTGCGATCCGAGGAAATCTCCCACTGCCGAGTCAGTTCCATGTTCTTCGGTCCGACAGCAGATTTTAGCTGCGACTTGTCAACCTGATGACCGGAATCATAAACTGCAGCCGTCTGGACAGAGGCGGACCGCTTGGATCTCATTTCACGACGGGCACGACAAAGGGTGTGCTCGCGCAACTGCGAGGCTAAATCTGCACGCTTTCCCTGTCTCCGTGCGGAAGCACTTGCTGAGGGCAGTGTTCTGCAGAGCGTCTCTTCTGCTGGAACGCGCAAACTGTCCTGCAATTCTTGCTGCAGGGTTGACACTGGTGGTGCAAGCCCCAGTTGTCTGCAAAGGCCGAGCATTTCCTCACGGATGGAACTCGCTAGCTTTACGGCTTCGTTTGGCGTCGACTCAATCGGCTCAACCACCAATGCCGGCTTAGCCGACAAACTTTGCTTGGTCGTTGCCTCGCTGAATATGTTTCCTGCCAATTTCTGCTCGAATATTCCTCGGGGATCATCTTCGTCTGCATCATCCTCATCTTCGTCGTCGTCATCATCCTCATCCTCATCCTCATCCTCCTTCAGTCCTTGGGCAAACCTGTGGGCCGTGTCGCCACCTCTCCCGACTAGCACCGCCAGATCATGCTTCAGTCTGGCACTTCGGCTCCCTCTGTCCGCACTTGTAAGCCCCAGTTCGAACACTTCAGGCTTCGGTGGATGCTTGCGCGATCTCTCCTGGAAAATCCCTGCAGCGCTCCAATGTGGCAAGGTTTTCTTCCTTGCGCTTTTGCGGCGTGTTTGCCGCTGCACACGAAGCGTCTCTTGCCACGTGTCGATCCATGCTGGCATGCCCAACAAGGGTGAAACCTAACTGAAAACTGCATGTTAATGTGCTGATGATAGCTGCTGCATCGTTCCAACAACTCAGTAGCTGTGCTAGAATATTGCCGAAGTGGGAAAAGCATTATCACATGATACCACATGTGGTCCTCAAACCAAACCAATGACACTGAGCAGAGTTCTTGTAATTGAATGCAACACGGCATCAACTCCTTGGGCATCTGCGAAAGCCACTCCAATGTTTTTGGAACGCAGGTGACGGCCTCATCTTTGCGAAGATCCACACGATCAAGATCAGAATAGCCTCTGACAAGGCGCCCGACGGAACCACGCAACTGAGGCAGACATGGGATTGTGCCTTCAACACGCTGTCAATGATCACATCTACCCATTTCACGAGATCGGGTCCCAAAGAATACCTGCAGGACAAGTTAGGACAACACTGTAAACGAACAGGGTTGCCAGCCTGCGAAGCCAAACAATTTACGCTTTCGGCCACCTTGTGCGTTCCATTACAAACAAGGTGCGCCAAAACGGGTGCCGTGTAGCGCGTGACCTGGCGCAAACCGAACAGAAAACAAGCGGCAGGCACTCGCAAGGACTGGGCCGCGAGCCGGATATTTCAACATCTCCGCAATTGCCAATGCATATGCCGTGGTCTGCGCAAACTTCAAACTCAACCTAGCATGCTTCATGCATCTGTTCCGATTGGCAAAAACAAGCATTGAAAAAACAATCTGCCTTTCCTTTCCTGTTTTCGGTCGAAGCACGTAGCGACAACTGCTAGCCACGCAGACCACAAATTGCCCACAGCGCTTTGGAGTCGCTTGGGATCTTTGATGCCTCGGGGGACACTGATTAGCGACTCTCAATTCTGGGTTGAACGGCTCATGATGGCTCATGTAGAACAAGCGCATGATTTGGGCTTCCGACTCGTCAGAAAGAGCTTGGACTTGTGCTCAACCAGTTCCTGACTGCTCATGGCCTCCACATCGCGAATCCCGTCCTCAGCGCACATGATGCTGTTTGAGGTCGCTGTTGCAGGGCAAGTGTGAAAGGGGCCTTGTTCACATCCAACTGTTCGTCTTTGTCATGTGCGGCAAGGACCTCACACCAACACATTGACTCCAACCGTCCACTTTGCTGAGACGGACGAGAAATACATCGGAAGGCGGCTGCTCCAAATCATGTACAGTCTGCTCCCAAGTTTGGCACCAGCGATTTTCGATCTACCAATCGACCTCTACAACTGCCGTCTCCTCCATCGCTTCCCGTCACCCTCGATTCTCCCGGGTTCGGCAGTTCCGTCATTGCAAGTGGCTCTGGGGCGGTGGGTTCGCCGCGCCAGGTCGGGGATGCTGCGTACTGACGTGCGATGTACGTTGCAGACTTTCAGGCGAACGACCTCGGTGGCACCGCGGCCGCCATCGCCATTGTCGTCGACGGTCTTGTCTTGTGTGGTGTCCTTCATGTTGGCGCCCCTGCCGCTAGCCGCTGTTGTTGTTGCTGCTATTGCTGCTGTTGCTGCTGCTGTTGTCATTGCTTTTGTTGTTGTTCTCGCTTTGTTGTTATTGTTGCTGCTGCCACTGCTGTTGTTGGTCTCATGTGGTTTCTGCAACGGTTTTCGACTGTGTGTGCTAGTAGCCTACTCTGCGACGGGGCCACTTAACGAAAACGCTGTGCAAAACCTTGTTCGGTTCAGCTCGGGCATTATGGTAGAACTATTCATCCGTTTTGTAATTCAGCTCCATAGAGGGATACAGCCGGCATGACACCAAGTCATGTGCGTGCGTAGTGGAAATGTTAAGATCACGCTTGTTCTTGTCACACAATCCCGGAACCCGGCAGGAGGCCTTTGTGATTGTTCAGCGGCAGCTCCAGAAGGGTTGCTGCCAGTGCTCGGCCAACTCCACTGCGACTGCGGCGCCCGCCCGGAGATCCCGAATCCAAATGTGACATGTCAACCTGCTCGTCCCGAAATGCCCGTGGTTAAACCAGGGGGCGAAGGCGCCCAATGGTTCGCAAACAACAGCGTCGGATGCACGAAAACCGCCGAAAAGTTACGACATGTCAGCGACGGACGCAGGATTGACACTGCAGGCGACCAAGAAAAGGGATCTGATACTATCCAGCCCGTGATAGCCCGTGCGATTTCTTTCCACTGCCATCAACCGTGTACGACCAAGCGCTGTGCCCGCAGTGGCTTGCTCTATTGCGACGGACATGATCCTTGCCAACGTCTTGACCGGGACGATTGCCAACGGCGAAGGCTGGTTGCGTTTTTCAAGCGGCTGGTGATTGAGCTCAGTCGATCATACACCGGGCGGCGTGCGGACAGGTAAACTGGCACACCGCACGATTCCAAACACGAGGATTCTGCACAAGTCTGGTTATCGCACAGTGGCTTCCAAGGAATTGTCGGGATTTGTCCCTAACATAATATGTGACCCATTCTCGTCGCGGCCTCCCCACTCTTCTCACATACATACTTGTCGCAGGCTGCAGCATTCAACGAATAAATGCGGAGCTGTGCAAGAGCTGGTCGTATGCACATCGCAGCACTTTACCGAAAAGGAGGAGCTGTCGTTTCAAGAGCAAGCAGCGGGGTAACAAGTTCTGCACCAAAAGTCCGCATTGGGCCTTCTCGAGATGAAAGCATGTGGGATGCCGAAAACACTTCGCAAGCAACGGCTTTGAAAGCGATCAAAACGCCGACGAGATAAACACAAGCAGCTCAGGGAATACATCAGTTTCGATTGAATAGGAGCTCTGTAAATTTGTTCTCCGACCAAATTCATGCCTTGGTAGCCCATCATGACTGACAACAGATCCCAAACAGTCGATGCCCAGTTTTGGCGAAATATGCTCACCCGTGAAAGTCCGAATGATTGCTCGACAATGTACTTGTAACAATTGAATCTTATCCCAGTGAAGCTCCATGCCGTACAACAGCCTTGCACCTGCGATCTGAGAAAAATGGTCCTGCAAATGAGGATTGGGCTCTCAGTGGGCGGAATTATCGCAAAGTGAAAAGTTTCGACAACTCATCGAGCGATCGCAATCCATTCTGCAAAAGTACACGGGCCACGGTCTGAGCAAATCGAAAAACAAATCCCCCCGCATCATGGGGTTACGACACATGGGCAGAGACTTGGATGCAGTTTCGCCCCCAAAGGAGCAATGCACAAGGGCAAACAGAATCGAGGGATCTGTCGGCAGAAGCCGTTCAAACTTAGCATTGGGTTTTCATGATGACACAGTCCAGATCAGTGCATGTGATTTCAGAATTGCTACTTAGCACCTCAAGGGATTGACAGACAGTAAGATTGACAGTGGCACATGCAGAAGCAACACATGGCAATTTTGGGCCTACAAAACAACACAACGCCCCGCCGAGCGGCGTTGCGCAGTAGGTCGCAAGATCCAGGCGGCGATCGTAAGCAAGGACGACGTCATTATGGTTTCGGGAGGGTATATGCCAGGATACTGTGCTAGACCAAGCACGTCGTCATGGTCGGGCCAAGGATGCTGTGAACTCAAAACGGCTTCGTCTTGCAACTTATGTGGACGCTCCCTTTCGCAGGATGACCCATTGGCATTGCCTGGTGGACGGCCCGAGAACGCTCGTTGTTGATTTGGCTTATATCCCTCGACCATGGCTTTACTTCCCCGGTTGCACGTGCGAGCACACCCACGACCTTCAACCTGCGCATGTGCAGATGCAACCGCATCCGCGCAACTTAATTCACGCCAGGACCCCCGCGACCAAACACGAGGGCACAAATTCCTTCCTACAGTATGTGTTCAATGTTGCCAGACGTGGCTGATCTTTAACAATGTTCTGCATTGGAGGCATGGTGTCATCTAGTTTGCAAGCTTCCGTTCGCATCTTTCGCGACAAGTTTATGATGTAGCGCTGTTTGCCCAAGCCTACTCGGAGCTTATTGGAATATCGGGGTTGCGAGCTCTGTAGAAGGAAATGCAGCTGCGCAGCTGCCGGCTTTTGCCGCCGAGGACTCGCGTCGGAACTTTGTTCCCGCAGGTATATGGTATTGCACGTCTTGACCCCCTAGCAAAACAAGTGCATACGACGTTTTAGCAAGCTTGCGCAACGACCCTTAGACCTGATTGGGCATTTCGGTGCATCAGGGGACGCCGCCGTGAAGAGGCTTTGGCCATGCCGACGGAGCACACGCAACCATGCAGTTTTCTTCAGGCGTGCTGCGCATGGGCCGGGGAACGAAACAAGGTGACACCATCGCTGGCGATCTGGTAATGGATGTCTACCACGTCCCACTGTAAGCGTACAAGACCGCCACCCAGGACGACCTGCTTCCCGAGTATGGCAGCGACGTCATTGATGCGGCAATGACCACGTACACTGACGACATTGCAGAGCTCATTTCTTCTTTTTAACACGCACCTTTTACCGACGTCCAAAGCAGCGCGGTCCCGGTGTCTCCTGTTGCGCAGCGCCGCGTGCGCAATATGCCCTCCGCACCTTCTCCCTGCTGGGAAACACACACGGCGGCGCAGCAGGCCACGATGGTGCTGTCCTCAGCTGCCTGGCTGTCGCTCTTGTTAGTTTTGCGGCACGGCGGCCTCGGCTTGCGCAGCACGACCCGGCATGCACCCGCTGCTTATACTGGGATTCATGTGCCGACGCCTTGCGTGCTATAGCCTGGCGCGACCCCGACTTCGCACATGAGGTCGCCACCTCTCTTGCCTCTGACCGGCCACCCCCGCTGGCCTTGCAATCAGCGCGAGACGCCGGCGACTCGCTTTCTGCCATCGGTTCCGAGCCCCCCTACCTGGGGGCGGACTTACTTCATGCTCAGGTGCCTACCCAGCTCGAAGAGGACCCGTCCCTTGACCTCACTCGTGGATGGCAGCGCCCGGCGTCCCAAGCCGTTGACGACGTTTGCCATAGGGCCTTCCTTCGTGAGACCAACGCGCCCTGCTGGACTCGCACGCTGGGCCTCATGCTGCGCGTGTCCTCACCACGCGTCCCACGTTGGAGTCACCGCGCTTCCGAGCCATCTTGTTGCGCAGACCTTCGCCTGCCCCTGCCACTGACTTCTGCCTTCCAGATGCCGTTGCCGTGCACACCTCGATCCTTGCGGCGACCACTTCGCCGCTTGCCCGCGCTGCGGCATTTTGCGGGCGCGGGGCGGCCCTCTCGAGCGTGCTGCTGTGCGCGTGTGCGCAGAAGCTGGGGCGGCGGTCGCTCTGAACCTGCTTGTCAGGGACGTGAATGGGGACCCGGATCGCCAAGACGACCGCCACATAGAAATCGTCGCCAATGGCCTGTGGCGCCCAGCTGGCAGTCGACACAACGCTTGTCTCCCCCCTTACTGCCCACGCAAAGCTGGGGGTCGTACTGCCGGAGCTGCCTTGCTCACTGCGAGACGTGCTGAAGAGCGCACATACCCCGAACAAATGTCATTGCCCCTCACCGGTACGGCCCATGTTGACGGGGAGTTGCCACCCCCGAGCGACATCCTCGCTGACTCTCCTTCCCAGCCCCCGATCGCCAGCCGTGTGGTGTGAACGCGCTCTGAGCGCACCCTCTTTGCAGTTCTTTGCGGTAGGCTGTCGCCCTGGCTTTGGGCTTGTGGCAAGAGCCATGCAACTTAGGAGTCATGGGGCGTGGGGAAGCTGTCGAGACGGCCGCGCTGGCGGGCCAGGCCTGCACGCAGGCGACGAACTCTGGAGTGCCAAGAGGAACCCGGACCCAGAGCAACAACACCACGTTTTGCCAAGAGGAGTGCCTGGTCACCAACCTAGATCGGGGAGTCAGGGGCAACGGCAAGCACAGCAGGTGGGAGAATGCCAGCGGAATTCCAAACCTTTGTCTTTGTAGCGTTGAGGCGAACGATTCTGGCGCTGGGGCAAGGATGTAGATGTCGTCAAGATATGCCAGCGCCTGCTCGCCTTGGCGGAGCTCGGTCTGCGGGGCCCGGAGGGCGGGCTGCAGGGCGA